AGCTGGTTTACAGGTGCCTTTTGTATCTTTGCTTCTCAGTTTATATTCATATTTCTCAATTCATGAATTAACAAGCTTCCTGGATGGGGAGCGAAACGTCCTCAAACTTGGAAACAAAGTCCAGTGGATTGTTTTTAATTTTTCTTTTTTTTGGAAGCTTATGATGAAATAAATATCTCTGGAACTACACTACTCATCTTTTATTTGCCGGTTGGATCTAATTAGCTGTGTTTCAAATTAATTTGTTTAAATTTACCAGGCAAATATCTCAATAAATTCATATCGGGCTTTGTTTGTAAGGTTAGACACTGTGAAGGTATCAGCCATATTTTGATAAAGCAACATAAACCAATGTGATTAAATATTTGGTTTATTTAAAGAGCAACAGCGTGCAATTGGAACTTATTTAAACTATATTGCTCTGCTTTCATTAGAAAAAGCATTAATCCTATCAGAAAGTTATTGGTTCATTGAGTTCCCCACTACATGTCTATGTGCCCTTAAACTGATAGTTTAAGGTTCATTTAAATCTAGAAAATATTTATTTACATATATAACTAATGTTAATGTTTCCCTACTCTTTATTAGATCTTTTTACATATTTTTTTCTCTCAAATCTTTTTTTTTTTAAACCCTTAAATGAAGCAAACTACTAGATAAGCAAACTCTTCTGTGAATTTCTTGAGCTGAGATTATTTTGAAGCAGTGCTTCCGGTGAATCCCCTGTTAATCTGACCACGGTGTTAATCTGTGCTGTCCTGAATGAACTACAAGGTCGACAACACCCGAGAGGAGATGGAAATAGAATCCGATGATGTAATCCGTGATTTCGAGAAAGTGACCCATAGGATTAAATTCTAAACTTTAATCTAGAATGTACGGGTTATTTCTTCCACCAGTTTTTTTGTTTGTTTGTTTTTGGCATTTCTGTTTTCAAAAATAACCACAGCCTATTTTGATTATGTTATATAGCAAATATTTGATAGGCCTATAGTGGAAATTAAACACTTAAACTCATGCAACATTTTTATAAATAATAAAAGCAACTACACAAAAAAAAAAAGAAAAACATAAATCTAAGTCATGTCTAAATTTAAAGCATGGTGGAATAGGCATCATGCTAAGGGGGTGTCCCTTATACTTCTTTTTACATTGTATTTTAAACAGTTTGCGTATCAATATTGGCTCAGTTTGAATACATTAAATTTACTGAGGTTATTTTGCTTTATGTTTAAATACTCTTGATCTGTTTCAACAACAGAACAGCCGTCATCTGCCCTTCTAATCCAAAAAGTTAATCTAACAGGAAACCTGTGTCAGGCATGTGGTTTCTAGTAATAATAATAATAATAATTTTACTTTATTGGAGAAATTTAACCTTTGCATTTAACCCATCCCCTTGGGGAGCAGTGTGCATCATGGAGTGTCCAGGCAGCAGTGTGGGGTTAAGAGTCTTTGATCAGAGACCCACAGTGGCAGTCTGTGGGAGTGGGGCTCAAACTCAGAGCCTCAGGATTCCAAGCTTTATGACCTAACCACTAGGCCACCACTCCCCATGAAGGGCCAAACCCAGACGAGGAGTTTGATGGATTGGGTTTGATTCCTTGCGCTGCTCAGTGGCACAGTGGGTAGCACTGTTGCCTTACAGCAAGAAGGTTCCGGGTTCAAATATTATGACTTGCAAACCAGAATTGTTCTACCTTAATAAAATGACCAAGCTGAGAGTTTTACTGGCAGTTTAAGAGTGGCTGTAAAAGAGAGATGAGTTTTAAGGCATGTAGTTACATTTAATGATGGTAAGAATTTTTCATAAAATAACAGTACTAAATATTATTTATAGTGCATGTCACAGGGCTTCACAGTGGTGCAGTGGGTAGTGCTGTTGCCTTGCAGCAAGGTCATGGTTCGATTCCTGGCCCGGGATCTTTCTGCATAGAGTTTGCATGTTCTCTCTGTTCATGCGTGGATACTCTGGCTTCCTCCCACAGTCCAAAAACATGAGTGTTTGGTTAAATGGCTTCTCTAAATTGTTCTTAGGTGTGTTTGTCTATGTGTTGCCCTGCAGTGGACTGGTGACCTGTCCAGGGTGTACCCCGCCTCTCAGCCGTAGACAGCTGGAGAAAGACACCAGCACCCCTCGTGAAAATGAATGGATGGGTTTGGTTCCACTATTGTTGCAGGAAAAGGACACATCTTGCAAATAGAAAGTTGAAAAAAAAAAAAAAAAAACCGCCATCGAGGAAGGAAACTTAAAAAACCAAAAGAGTAACTATTTTCTCATATTTAATTTTCAGAAATTTCTCCTTTTCAGCTCAAGTTTTACAAACAGCATTAATTTTGAATTGGATTTTGAAGTTCACATTCTATTGACCTCTGGGGCAGGTTTTCTTATCGAGATGGGAGCAAAGATATTAGCAACATTTTTATTGGTCAAGATTTGTACTGGGCTTAAAACTAGAATGATTTCTGAAAATATGAAAAGAACGCAATTTATAAAACTTAAGCTGAAAAAAAAAAACTATAAATATAAAATCTGTAAGTTTCAATAGATTAAATCTGAGAAAACTGCTGTTACCCTCAGTTTTTATTAAGAATTTTTTTTCACATTTTATTTTTAGATTGACCCCCCCAAATTTTCATTTACATTTGTTTTCAACAATAATGGAACAAAAATTACTCCGTACATTTTAAATATCTGATCAATGCTGGAGGGGAGTGCATGTTAACAGGGAGAAGAAATGTGGCAGCTCAAAGTAAATCAGGGATTTTAAATGTGAAAGTATTTCAGAGGAACTGCTATCAATAGTTTATACAATTAAAGTTAACATGTTGAAATCAAGTATGGAAAGCTAAATAGTTTCCAAATTTCTGTCATTTTAAACAGAACCGTGTGACACAGTAATTAAGACTACAGATAGAAAAACTGGCCTTTATTTAGTCTTTTTACATATGGCTTAAGCTTTTCTTTTATTACAAACAAGTTTTACAAAAAGATTCTGAGGACGTCTGAATCAAGCAGAGGAGGAAAACCAAAGCAAGAGGCTGATGACAGCAATGACATGGCTGCAGCTGAAAAACAGCCTGACCGTATAAAAAGAAAAAAAAAAAAACCAGCAAGAGAACATTCACACAAACAGACGAGACGAACCGATGGGCAGAGGTGACGACATTTTCAGAATCACAGGGGGGAAAAAGAAACAACCAAAAAGCCAAAAACGCAGAGCCAACAAGCGTCCCGTTCCTGTGTCTGACGGGGCTCATTTAAATCACAACAGCTTACACGCCACGTACTGCTCCAACCGTTAGTCTGAGAAATCAACATCAGAGCGAGTTAAAAGAAGGCCAGCTCATCCTTCGGCCCGGTGCTGCATGACCGTTATTCTCTAAACACAGTAAACACCGTTCGCCATCCACCACAACAAGTTTCTAAACTTTAAATCAGTTTTTTTTTCTACAGGTCTAAGGACTATATTAGAGCTCCTTCAGTTGATTCAGATGAATTAAGAGGATTATCAGAAGATCAAACTCGTACGTAGAAATCATCGTCATCACAGATTGCGCTGCATTAAATCTCAGTTTCCAAGGATCCACCAACTGGCACATGATGTGTATAAAAGCGGCTTTGTCTTCAGACGCGTCTTCCCGCCCCCCCCTCCTGGTAAAGTCTGTCAACGGTGACCGTCGTTCCAAATCCCTGTCGAAGAAGGTGTTGCATAAACAGGATATGAAGTCTCTTGCATACGGAGGCGTCTCATGTCTCTCTCCTTGCCTTCTTCTTCTTCGCTGGTTTGGGCACTTGGCTCTCCTCGGGTTTTTCTGCGGAAAAAGGGAAAAGAAACTTCATCCAAGTCCTGATGACGAAGTGAGAACATTCATTTAAAGCATTTAGTAAAATCTCAAGGTTTGAGCAGGTCATTAAAAGTCATTATTTTTTTAAATTAAGGCCTTAATAGGCATTAAAAGTCATTAAATGTGATTATTGTGGCATTTAAAATGCTTTATTTTTAAAAAAATAAATAAAGTGTATAAAAACAATTTCAGATGCGATACATTTGAACGGAACAGCTTCCGGTTGGGCTTAAAGATGTATGTTCGGAAAAGAAGCTTGAGGCGGAGGAAGAGCATTAAAAAGCATTAAATTAGAGTTACTCATTCCTGTATAAACTCTGAATCTATTCAAATTACAAGTTGTTTTTTTTAAATCTAAAACTAAAAGACCTAATAATTTTTTTTTTTATTAAATGGTTAAAAATTAAGGTCATATTCCTGTAAAGCTGTTAGTTTGATCACAAGAATCCAATTAAACCTGATTTATTAAGGTTTTCATTTAGAAAAGGTACGGGTATTTTGCCAGGATAAGAAAAAAATGTCTGGATGAAGAGTTTTTATTCAAACGGCTCAATGGCGCCATCTGGAGGTGGTTTGGCCCATCATGGATGTTCTCACTTTGCTGTGTTGGAGCAGGAGGGTTGCTCTGCTTGGCAGCAGGTTCTCCATCAACTGGCTTCTGTGGCACTTGTGTGACAGGGGGTTTCTGGGGTAGGACGTCCTTCACTGGCCGATCTGCTCTGGCCTGTTCAGAGAGACAGGAAGGGAAAAACTAAATGTCGACATCTTTACTGGGGACAAATAAAAGCATGAAAAAAAATACAAAAAAAGGCAAAAACAAACAGAGTAAAGATGTGCATCAGACGATATGTGCATAAAACACTTATTTATTGGTGCATTAGGCAGCCATAAGTTGAGATCTCATGAGGTGCATGTATCGACACTCCCTCAATTGGCTATCCATCTGTAATGTTTTCTAAAATTTGATAATAAATGTCTGTTTAAATTGTGTAATTCTAATCCTGTAAATGGAGGTACAGAAAACCATATCAGCCTAAAGAACCAAAAAGCAAAAATAAGCAGGGTACATATCAGACTCGTATCAAAATAATTAATATAGGCCCTAAAAGAAACTGTAACTATACATACAACAGGATTTAAGCATTTGTAATTTTTATTGAATGACTGCTCTAAATTATAGCATGAGATTGGCACTAAAGTTACCAGTAATGTAGGTATGCCAGTTCTACACTACCTGCAGTTTTCTGCCCGATCACCAATCCTACATGCTGATTCTGACAGACGCCTGTAATGTTTTTTCTTTGTAATGTTACAAAATCTATCTTAAGCGTTTTTCCAACTGAAAGTACAGAGTTAACGCGCGTTTTTCAGACACGGGTCGACCGGCTAACAATCAGTGTTTGGCTCTCGTCCCATTGGCTAAAAAAGCCTGGGTCTAACCCCTCGCTGGAAAGCTGCGTGGCCTCTGCTCCACCGTGGTGTTTCTGGTGAGACCATCGTGCTAGGTTAGCGTTGATGATGTCACCAGTGAGACAGAAATCAGGAAAGTAAACAATGGAGATTAACATGGAAGGGAGCCAGTGCGTAGTCGGTGTGCTTTGTCGTTTCACTCTTATCTGTCCAAATCCCTCTCACCAGAGCAGCTCCATGTTTATCGGATGTAAACAGTGGCTGTTTCGGCTTGTTAGAACAGACACAAATGACGTGGTATGTACGTTACGTTCAATGGTATCCCGTAAATTAGCAGGTCGACCCATCTGGCTTTCCCACAGCATGCTGATCAGACCAGAGGAAATTTTAACCTGAATTATTTGACCCGGGTCTGCACGCGTCACTGAGCTGTTCCCACTGACACCAAAAGCAAATTGTTCTGGGTTTAAATGGGTTTTTGGGCCAGTGGGAAAAGAGACAGTATTGAAGGAAAAGAAACCACAGTACCTATGAATCAATATACTTGTTTTATCTACATGAGCTAATGATCTCACATATAAATGAGGAGCTTAGAGCAGCATGAGAGGCTGATTCTAAGAGGTAGAGGAGATCGCCATCAGCCGATGCGCTGATGTGAAATCCATCTCCCAAAGCCCAAGAGATTCAGGGCCGATCCATCAGCAGGGGGGTCAGTGCAAACTATTTTTTTTTCTCTCCATGTCAATTTTGATTGTCAATAGACAATGTCCATTGTTACTCAGTTTTACAAATATCAACACCCCATATATCACTAAGAGAAATACATATATTTCTGTCATCCTTTAAAGTAAAAAAAAACTGTAGATTGTTATTGACATTTATAAGTTGGAATGAATATGCGTTTCTGATATCGGCACATTTCTTCCTTGCTAAAATTAACATTTTAGACAATAAAAATTTACTTTTATCCAATTTAAAATTAACATTTCAGATATCTTGAATATAATTCTCACAAGTGCAAATTAAGTTATTTTTCCCATTCGTGTGTATTGGACAGTCACCTTCGGATAGATGAAATGACATTACTCCCATCTAAAACAAACATTCTGTATTCATCAAGATGAAATTAATATCTCCATAAGCAAATTGAGGAAAAGCTTTTAATAAATGTCAAAGCGGCCTGATACAGACTGCTCTGGTTGATCTAGATCAACAACTTCTAATGGGGTGACTGGCCTCCAAATGGCTCAGATGTAAGGAGGGTTTCCAGTGTTTTCTAGATCCCAGATAACCTTCAGAGGGGATGTAGCATGAACAGAGCTTCATCAGGCGCTGCCCATGAGCCCCACTGACCTCCACAGCAGCTGCTTTGACGGGCTGGACGGCTGCAGCGTTCTCCTGAACAGGTGGCTGCTTCTTCACCGCGACAGCAGGGGCCACCTCCTTCACCGGCTCCTCAACCTTCAAAGACCAGGGAGGACATTTACACAACTTGGACAAATTCTAGAAATCCATTAGAAACGAGCTCAGTGATTTTGTGTCATTGGTTTCCTGAACCGACATTAACATCCTTTGTGTTAAAGTTCTTTTCCTTACCGGGGCAGGTGCTCCTCCCTCCTCAGGAGTCTTCTTCTTCTTCTTTTTCTTCTTTTTTGTTTTACCGGCTCCATCAGTAGCAGCATCCCCCTTGTCCTTATCATCTTCATTATCATCCTGTAAACCATGAAGGGAAAAAAAAAAAGATTAAAAACCTCAACCTTTAAAGGTTTATAACTGGGAGGTTGACCAACTAAAATTGTGCTTTATTCTTATGGAGTGAATTTTATCCCATTATTTT